GGACACACTTGTATCCTTTATAAAAAAATATTTTTATATAAATATTTATTTTTTCTTCTGAAAATCATATTTTGCACACAGGTAAAGGTCATTTCTGAAAATAAATCACAAAAGTAAAATAAAAAAAAGCGTTTTGGAAAATAGCTCTATTTGAATTATCATAAATGTGTTTTCTATACAGAGATATCGACATCGGTAAATATCGGTATCGGCCATAACAGCAATATTAATATCGGTTATCGGTATCGGCCACAATTTTCACATCGGTGCATCACTAGTCATTTGTAACCGACTGGTTGCCCTAACACAAGCCAAGTTGTCATCAGAAGCACTAATAGTGAAAAAATGGAGCCTTTGTTAGTGTGCTGATCCTGTGTTCAGTGGTTCTGCCTGTGCAGTGGAAGAGTCCACTGATACCTGAAGATGACAACTGACCTGCTGTCATCTGTGCACGCCTGCTACCTCTGTTCCTGCTATATGTGGTTTCCCCCTTTATCTGGTGCTCTTTCTGCTTTTTAAAAAACGTGCATCATATTGCTAAGCACTTCAGGTTCTCCAGTCTAGCATGGCACCGTTTACAATAATAATGGTGGCACATTTACCGCTCACCACTACGACTGATCTAAGACAGACGTATACAAAAGCAGGTGTTATATTGATATTTTTTGTCAGCTGTTGCTAGCTAAGTAGCTTATTAACTGAAAACTCTGTCTCCATCTAGATTTTTAATGACCAGTTCCAGCTGACTAGTTTTCTTCCTCTTGTATTTTCAGATTTTTTTCCTCATTTCTCAAACAAGTAACTACATTTATATTCGGAGCAGGAGTGACATTGTCTCGAATATGATGGATCATATGAATTTGCACAGTTGATCTCAATGATATACAATGAGCTAATTATTAGAGAAGCAGATCATGAGCATGCCATCTTCCACACTTCAGCATTATTGCACTATGGATTTTCAAAATAAAACATAGTTAACATAGCTAAGTGCTAATGCCCAATATGGCCTGTCTCACCCTGTAACGAGCCCTCTGTGACTTTGAGTCAGTATTTTACTTGGCTTGTGTGCTTCATGAGACAGAGGAAGCCGAGGTGTATTTAACTCCAGCTAAATGTCATGGGATCCTTGCAGTACTCATCTTTGTCAGGCACAGCTCCAGCTCAGCACTGCTTCAGAAGTTGATGTGTTTATCTGTAAAGCAGGGTTAAATCTAAAAGTGCACTGCTTTGCTTGAGCTTGTCTCGGGGCTTTGGATCGGCCGGTATTAAAAGTAGACTGATCTCACCATGCATATGTGGTGTTCACAGTACTTAGGGATATAACCTGTGTTTATGATGTGGCATGGTTGCTGAGTGAAAGGCCTGCGGTCAATAAGCTCCCTACAAAGGAGCAGTGATTTTACGTCTTTAGGAAGGTGTGATGTTACAGTTGTGGCTTGCTTATGATTGTGGTGGCTGTGTCTGACGTGGATTGTAGTGTGTGTTACAATATGGGAGAGAAGAGAGATTTAATTTGCCTAAATACAAATTAAAAACTGGATAATAATCTCCAAGACACATTGCAATGAAAGCAAGTGTACCAATGTTTGGGGCTTACGTACTGGAGTCTGCGGTAAACTGCTATGGTTGTGGAGAGCCGGCACGTTAGAGAGTTCCTCTAGCCAAACCGGATGGTTCCTGTTGGCTCCCTGCCAGTCCTGCTGGTATGCTAGCACTCTTCTGACAGCAACCAACAACAAAGCTGTCAGCAACAAAAGGGAACAACAGTAGCACATATAGTATATTAAAGCTAGATAGCTTACTGCACTTGATGTATTCTGTTGGACCATCAGCACACTGATTGGAGCGGCTTCAGGCTCGACCTTGAAGGCTGACACACAATGTGTGCATAGAAGATGAGATCAGAGGTCTAAATGATGTACAGACTGTAATATAGAGTTATTAAGTTAGTCTAAATGGATGTCTGTGAATGTTGACCTGATGACGAATGATGTTGTTGTCTCAGGCTGATCTCTGGGGTCAGTATCTGGGATTATACATCAAGGGTTTTTTGAATCAGTTGGCATTGGTCTGTATTTTGATTCTTTTTGTTCCTTTCTGTATTGTGAACCGCTCTGGGTATTTTGAGACTCAGAGCCTGACTGATACAGGGCTTACGCCCAGTGTTAGATTGTTGTTTTACACCTGCTCCACTACCCCCTCATCTGATAAACAAAGCAGCTAAAAGACTGACTTGTACGGTTCCAGTGCCAATACTTCAATGAGCTGTGCTGGGTGGAAAGAAGTCTTGCTGGTGTTCCACTTCTCTAATCTCAATAAGTCAAAGTGCTAACTGTGCCAAGCAAAGGTGTCTTACTTTATCACTTAGTTGAACTGGAGCTTTTTCTCTGGAAAAGAAAATGTATCAGTTACTTGTGAATTCCCCTTAAACCTGCAGTGTTTCACTTTGTATCCCCCTGCTGGCAGTGAGAGTAATAAAGACACAGTGACTGTGGATGCATGCTTATGACGTGTAGTCCTGGTTGCTCTAGCCTACTCCGTACGTCACCAAACTACCAGTGACTGTATCATCACTGGAACAAGTTGTCTTTGATTTGTAATGAATTATACATGAATGAATATACTATGTTGTCAATTTTCACATTCTACCGGAATTTCAGTGCAAAAAATGTCTACAAACATTGCAACCTGCATCTTAATTTCTTTGGAAAAACTGTTGTGAAATTGGGCATTTTCGGCTGTAACGATCCCAAGAAATGCCTGCCAAATCCTCACGGGACTGCCCAGTTACTGCACTGCAGCAGCGTTTTTAAACTTTTATTTAACAGCAGCAGTAAGCTGTCTATCGTGCCATTGTACAGTACTACATTGATTTCCTGATTTATTGTGAACAAGGGGTCAAAGAGGAGCACAGGTCATTCCAACATCCTGATCCTTGCTGGTTGGGTGTTTGGAAATGGTATAGATTCTAAAGAACAGGGAGATGAGGTTCCTATCTGTAATGCAATAAATAAATATATGTTTCTTAACTAAATGTATGTCAAGTGATTCCAGCATTTAGTGCCATTTTATAGGATATTTTCAGGATTATCACAATGATATTGTGTACCGCAGTTATTTTGGCCAAGATCATCGTGACATGAAGTCTTCATATGATCCCATGCCTAATTAGAGGATAGGTTGGTTACAATAAAATGAACATGTACAGTGAAATTGATCAATATTTGTGTGGGTGCTGTCGTATACAGCAGTATGTTGGCGTTAACTGTTTCCTGTTAAAGGGCGACTGATGAAGGCAGAGATAGAAACACAGGTGTTTCATATTTCACTTGCTATAAAGGAGATTCCTATCTCTGACGGCCTTGTCTTAACAAACCTCATTCCTGCCATGCCAGGCCGTGTCCCACAGCAAGCCATCTGCAACCTTCAGCACTTTTCTCTGGCCACACCCAACCACTCTTGCTTTCTTTGTGGTAACATTATCTCTCCCTTTGCTCTGCAGCCACACCAGTGCTGTAAAGAGAGGCAGCAGAGACAGGAGGAAGGGACACGGGGGAATCAAGGGAATGGATGATTAGGAGGACAGAGGCACAGAAGGAATCAAGGTCAGGGAAAATCGGGAAGGAGCTAGTGAGCCTGGGGGAAAAAAATCCTAATGTCAGTGATTTCCAGTGCACTTCAGTGTTATGCAATCCAGCAACACTCTAACGCCACCTCAGCCTGCAGCCTTAATTACAGCAGAAACACAGTATCACCATAAAGGAGCATTATAGGCGTCACAAAGCTGCATTGATTGATTTGTTTTTTCAGTGCATTGCCTGGCAGATGTGTGGTGGCCACTTGCTGTAAATGTTGGCAGTGAACATGCTCTAATGGTGTGTTGTTGTCCTCTTTCCTCAGACTGAAGAGGTGAACCATTGTTCACACTTCTGAATGAGTGTCAGTCACATGGTTAGACCATTCAGTCCCCATGTACTGCTGGCTAACGCTTTCAGCCCTTTTACTTGTGTCTTGTTACTTTTACGTGTCTCATCAGAAAGCACAGCGTGTGTCATGTAGACCTAACAGACAGGCCTTACCTTCCTCATAATTTGGAAGCTAATAATAATTATTATATAATAATTCACAAAGCGTAGTTTCTAACCAGCATTGTTTACTTCTGTTTGCCAGATAGCAGCCCTCTTCTCCCCTGCCTTTTGCTGGAATATTGCTATGTTTATTGACACATCATCAGCAGGAATTAGCGCTACTGATTTTTACTGATGTGACATTTTAAAAATTTTTGGGTTTGTTCAGCCAATAGTCCCAAATATATTAAACTTCTTCTTATATCACATAAGACAAAGAATACCAACAAATGTCTCAAAGTGAGAAGTTTTAATTAGAGAATGATTGACATTTTTACTTTAAAAAGTAGTTTTTTAGTAATTGGTTATCAAAACAATTTCTGAATAATTTTGTTTTGATTAATTGCCTTATCATTTCACCCGTGACATGACCATCCTTGTGGGTGTTCTAGTGGAAGATTCAATCAAAAGACGAACCAGATCACCAAAGCATTGATCCAAAGCACCGCCAGAGGCGCTCTAAAGGGAGACTACAAATTGAATCTAATTTCCTGTGTCATTTGGAAAGTGCCTCATGAAGACAAATATACCACATTTGAAAGACTGTTGTATATTTTGTGCAATTGTTCAGTCTCCTTGAATTCAGTTTACAGGGCCAGAGCTCCTTCCAAGTATAGTATGTGAGCAATTTTCATATTTACCTAAAGTTCTGTTCACCACTACAAATAAATCTTCCAGTTCCCTTTGGAGTTCTGTGATGAATTGTTGAAAAGTCTTTTCACAGGTCTTGTTTTTGTCATTACATGATGTGACCTTTGACTTTGGATGCGACAGTATCGCCAATTTACTAAAGTGTTGACCAAAATACTTTCTCCCATCTAATGTAACTCAGAAGTCTCTGACTGAGTCTCCCACCTCTTGTTGTTGCAGGTTCTGAGCCTATGGTACAAGGCCCTGACTGATCTTACTGGTGGTGCATACAGACTTACTACTGTGGTGAGTTTGTTTCTAAGCCTGAAATGTAAAATATCCATAACTCTCGAAAGGCAAGGCAATTTTGATTTTGTAGTTAACCCTTTTAGGATAATGGCTTTTGAATAACCTGTCATTAGTTCCTAACTGATAATGGTTCCTGCTGCTTCAGGAAAACATCTCCCTTTCACAAAACTAATACATTTAGTTATGGTTCTACTTAATGGCTCTCTTATATTGCATTTGCATTTTTTGATGGCTTGTATTATGTGCTGTTTGTGAGTGGCTTCTTTGTCTGAGTAACTAGGCAATTGCTGGCTAAGAAATTATAGGTTTTCTCTCAGCCTATATCTTATATACAGCAGTGTTGTATAATGCTTCATTTATTATTATGTTGCAGGAGGCAAATAGGATGCACAAGGATGGGTCATGGGATCCTCTACAATCTAATGCACTTCAGTACTCATGTTTTTAGTAATGCAGAATAGGGAGATATGGCTGACTGAGGGCGCTTTCAAACCTATAGTTTGCTTTGGTCTAAGATTTTTCTTCTTAGATTTTTTTCCCTCAAAGAGATTTTTTTGTCTTCATTGGTCACGCGTACTTAAACTTGGTTACTCATGTAACCATTTTTTTGGATTCAGGACAGGATGGTTTGGGTTTTTCTTCACACTGCAAAAAAAAATTCCCACACAGGAAAACCTTGAGATTTAGAGGCTAGTTTTCCAGTCATGGAAACACCTGGAAATTGATTAAAATGACCAAATATGTTGTCCTGGAAATAATCTATGTTGTCCTAAAAAGAATAATTATTGTGTTTTTGCCCCACACTCAGATGGCCTATGTATTTAGTTTGAAACTCAACTGTTGGTAGTACAATCTGCTTTGTTGGCTGTGATGAGAACAGCGGAAAGCAAACTAACATTGAGTGTCCATAAACGCTGACCTTTTGTGAGCAACTGCTGTTCTGTATTGTCAGGAAAACGCATGGAAAATGACTTCTTAAAAAGAGTGGCAATGCTGTAAATGCCACATGAGGACGTTCACACTGCTCATTGTCTTATTTTACTGAGGAGAACATCCATGTGGGAAGGAACTTTTGTTCTAACCATCTGTGATTGCCAGAAAGTTTGAAGGCTTTAGTTCTGTTTCCACTGAAGGAACAGCTCACTCTTCCTGTTTTGAACTGTTGAAGAATCCAGCAGATTTCCTGTCAACTCTACCCAGCAGTGCACAATGTACACTGCAGGATAGGACCTGTACAAGCTGTCAGTCTCCATGGCGATGGTCACTTTCTGCCCGAATTACTGGCATTGTTCATTTGGTTGTCTGATTGAACCGAGATGCTCTGCTGTGGCAGCTATGCTGCTGCTGCCACCCATATTGGCGACTAGCTGTGTTAATGTCAGGTCAGCCTTATTGGAAGGCTTTGTTTTCCTCACTGTAGAGCCCTCAGCTCAGCTGGTCTGTTTCATTCGTATGGCTTAACTCAGCACTGTAGTTCTTCTGTCATCAGTGTACGTGTGCTACATAAATAGCCTATGAGCACTTGTGCAAACCAAAAAGTCATTTTGCATATAGCACAGGAAATAGTGTGTAACAGACGGTTCATTTATTCTCTCTGTGTTGGTGTGTTTTTATCCCCAAGAGTTGTTTTTGTGCAGCTGGTGTTTTGGAGTGCTCTATACTGAGCTGACGTAGAATCAGTTATTTAGGCCAGGAGTTAAAAACTAACAACACCCCCAGTTTGTTTGTGCCCTGCAGAAACCTTTCACCCCCAACTTTGTCTTTAATTTCACCCTGACTCCTAGTATTTTCACATACTGGTTTTGGGAGAAAGTTGGCAATTCTCCTGAATTGCCAAAAGTCTTAAGAAAACATGGCCTCTGATTTTAGGATGTGTTTTGTATTTTTTATTGATGCAGTTGTGTGGAAAACTCTGTTGCTCCCACAAGGCTGAGAGGAGAAGAAAGAAGTCTTTGTTTTAAAACGAGTCAGCCCTCTGTATTGATTCAGTTCAGCAGTTTGCCTAGAAATTAGCAATGTACGCTACGCCTCTCCCAGAGTGTGCCCCCATTCTCGAAATATACCACAAATATTTCAGACGCCTCTCCTCTAGTGTGTCCTAAAGGAAGCCAAGAATTCCACACCTTTTGCATAGGGCTTGACCCTGGTTAATCCTGACGCTTCAAACCTTTTAGTCCTTTTTTAGTATGGTTAAATAGAGATAAAGCCTGGGTGAGATAAGGCGTGCCACTGCTCTATTTTCATTTGTCCACATCTCTGGCAAAGATACTGAATTATAAATCATGGTTTGGAGACAGGATTTGATTGTATGAATATGTTTCACGTATAAAAAGTGTGAACATGATGTACAATGCTGAGAACAAAGTGCCCAGCTTATAGAAAGTAGAAGGAAGCTGGGAGAGCTGTATAGTAGTGGTTGGCTCTCCAGCTACAGAAGTTTACCAACTAACCTTGCAAGTAGTCACTACATCACCTTCTAGCGTGAAGATGTGTGGATAAATTGCAGCCCTTTCTGGTGTGACGAGGCCTTTAAACAAATACCAGTCTAGCTCTTTGGGTCTTCTAGGGGTCGCTAAAGCCTTATGGAGGGCCATGAAGCCTTCTTGATTTTAAGGTGTACAAGAAAACTTCAGAAATACACAGTAGGCCTTTATCTCAACATTTGGTTCAAATCAATTGTCTAATAGAACAATGGCCAAGAGACAAAGGAGAAGAAAACACTAAATTTGTCAAAAAACATCTGTTGCTGAAAAAGAAATATGTATGATGGTTAAGATGCTCAAAATTCATTCAGATCACTCGTTTTACACAAACGTGTTGCAGTTACTGAGTTCACTGTTTAATGTCCCATAAGTCGGGGTTGTCAGTTTATATGATAGTATATATATATAGTATATGATAGGGGTCCCTAAAGGAAAAAGGTTGGGGACCACTGCTCTGAACTCGTCATATACCAATCAATCTGTGGGTCAATTAATCAGGGCATTGAGGTAATCGGCATCGGCACATGCCTGCGTTTACAATGCTGTTGAACAAAAAATGTGCGCAGACACATCTGTAGGTAGCTTTGCTGCAAAACATGTGAGCTCTCCCCTTTGTGAGTTTTGGGAAGGGGGTGAAGAATTCAGTTTAGAGCTCCGTACTATAACTCTAATACATCCTCATACATCAGCCACTGAAAACCCATATTAGTTGCCCACTGTTCTAGCATAACCTTATTTGGATTCCAGTTCGAGGGGCAGTAGTTTTCTAAAACAATAAGCTCATAGGAGCCAATGATATGTCGATTTCAGTAAGCTGTGAAAGGTAAAACTGAATGGCAGTACTGAGGCCAGTTTTATAAAGGCACTGAAGCCTTAGTTGAGCTATTTGTGCATATATCCCAACCAACCTCTACACCTGTTAGTTATTTACAAAACGAGGGGGCTGTGAAGAATCGGACTATCCACTTTATAGAGCATGCACATTACTCATACATTTGCTGCACAAAGGGTAATTGTAAGCCTTTATGCTCTGTATCAAAGCAGCGTGCTGCGCTGACAGGTCATTTGGTGCTTACACAGGTAATGCCAAGACTCACTCACACCTACCCATGATGGCCTAATACCCCCAGCTGTCAATAGATTGGCTCATCCTGTTTGTCTGTCACACTGCTTCCACTTCCTCAGCCTGTTACTGGAAATAGATGTTAGTCTGCTTCTTAGGTACGGGTATGTGGATTACCAGCTTACTACAGTAAAACCTTCTAAACAACTGAAAACAATGCTTTAATCAGGGATGTCATCAAAGTGTAAACCTGTAGAAACTCTGTAAGGAATGCATTCTGCATCTATTAGGTGGGATGAGATGTTGCTCTGATAGAATCAAAAATCAGCCCAAACATATGAAATCTAACTAATTAAAATGAGTGACAAGTTTCTTGCTCAGCTGTTGCTTGGGGGATTTACGTCATTACGTACTTCCCGGTTTTTTAGTTCTTTTGGGTTTTTTGAGCTCAATGACTGTTTGACTGCAAAGCAACATATCCCACCCATAGTGTTAACTGGTATACCTCTGTACCAGAATGGTTTTACAGAGAGCATGTCCACTCACACCTGTTGGGCTAGCATGCAGTGTGGTGTCCAGTCCCGCTATAAGAATTGCAAAGTAAGCGGTAAGCTATGACTTGTTCCTGATATGTGATTCGACCTTTTAAAGAGATTCTTGGAGTGATTGGGATTCTGATTTAGGCGAGGCCTTCTAATCTGAGCCAGCACAGAGGCTCACAGCGAGATCACCACCACTGATTCAGTGGCCCTCGCTGACCTGCTGCATTCAGATGGAGATGAGGGGCCTAGAGCAGGTTTAACTGCCCATCAAGCGAGGCTAGCTGGCAAGGCCTACATGCTACCATCTGTCACCGACAGACAGCTAGCCTTGCTGACCTCACATAGGCCATGTGAGGCAGAGCTAGGCTTGCCAATGCAATCTGTCAGCAGATCGGTAACCCTTGAGAGGGGGGAGGGGAGGGGAGAGCCACATGCAGATTGGAGTTAATTTCTGTTGTCATTGCACCTTACACAACTGCATAGTGGAATTAAAAGCTTTGACTCACGTTGCTGCAGTTAGCATTACAGCTTAGATCTGTAAATTGTAAAGTTTCTATCATTTTTGTATAACAAAATCAGTATTTTCTCACTTTTTAGAGCTAGCTAAGAGCTTGATTCCGGAATAGTTCATCTGCTAATACACTTGTACTGAATTCCCACAAGTTATTAGCCAGGGAGATGTAGAAAGATTGTCGGGCATTGGGCAAGACGACTCAGCAAGGGGTCCTTTTTATCATCGCTCATGCATAGTCTAGATAGTTATTCCACTCGGGACTGCCAAGAAATGAACACTGTATGCATGCATGAGCAAGTGTACGTTTCTGTTTACCATAAGGAATGTTGTTCAGCTGTTTTGGACTACTGACAGTTTTTCCCATTAATATTACGCTGAGTAAACTTAAGTTGACA